TAAGATTAGCCAATCCCGCAAATGAGAGAGGTATCCTCTATTTATAGTGGGAAAGTCCAAGGTAATGATTATAAGTCTGCAAGTGGGTAGGTGTCGTGCAAATCCTTCTTTGCGTACCATTGGTGGTTTGCATGAGAAATATCCTCAAATTGTGCAAGCCTTGGGCAGGTGGCTAATTCCTAACCACTCATAAGCCTGGCACTCACCTACTACACTGACAAGAATCATGCCACTTGCGTTATTGCACGACGTGACAACGCCTGAACGACACAAAACCTTCTTGACCCTTGATTGGCTCTTGCTGACGATAGTCCATGTCAACCCTACCTTTTCAGGCATAACAAATAAGATTGGAGACCTTTTCATGCATGTATCATAACATCAAAGAAAAGATGTCTAATAGTTTGATACCAGTGGACTTTTTCAAAATTAGTACTATTTATCCGTCTACTTCCTACTCATACAAATTTAACAAAAACAATGAGCCAAAGAAAGAATGAGAACAAATAAAACTGATTAATGTACACAAAAATTCCTTATATATATATATATATATAAGCTTATGAGAAGTCAAGGTTGACTGATAAAATAAATCCCTCCTTGCTTGATTTGACTTACTTGGACTTGAGGAATGATTATTTTGAAGAAATTCAGATTCCTAGTTTTCTTGGTTCTATAGGGAACCTAAAGCTTCGTTTGTTTATGTTTTTAGAATAGCATTCTATTCTGAATAGGATAGGATAGAGTTTGAAAAGTTAAACAAAAGAGGGGGGGGGGGGGGGGGGGGGGGGGGGGGCGCAGTCTTATCCCCCTTTTGTTTAACTGGGAAATGTAAACGGGTAGGATGGTCTGGGCCGGTTTGTGTTGTAGTGTTTGGGGGCCTGGTTGTTTGGGTCTTGAGTGTTTGCCTTTTTGGCTTGAAAAAAATAAAAAAAAAATTCTAAAAGAGTTTCTGTTTGTATTTGCAGGGACATAATAGAGAGGTTAGCTGAGTGGAAGCTGATTCAGTTGAACTCCTTTGATGCCATGTCGGAGTTTGGAGTAGAGTTGGCAAAGAGAAGCAGAGAGAAATAAAGAGTCTGCCAGAAGAACGAGAAGAAATGTACTTTGTGTATACTATGCTTTGTACATTGTCAATTTATACAAGAAGAATGAATCAATAAAAGGAAATACAAATAACATGCCTTAATTTCACAATCACATGAAATCCGGGTCATAATAAAAATGGATAGGAAATAATCATAAACGGATATTTGGTTTTAAACCAAATATCTGCATTCCATATCTCAACAATATTCCTTCTCTCATTGACTTGACTTGATTACCATAGGAGTCCATGGTGGGACATGAAACAACTGTAAACATTTAGAACCTTGACCCAAAGCAATATTCTAGGAAAGCTCCTTATCAACTTTTTTGCAGAAAAATGAGGTTCTAGATAGGCCTGCAATTGAACCGAACACGAACAAACACCCCCGTTCGAAACTCGTTCAATAAGCATGAACGAGTGTTTGAATTTGTATTCGAACTCGAACGAACACAGGATGATTGTTCGAGTTCGTTCGATTAACAAAACGATCAGTCCATGATCGTTCGACTAACTTGTAAATACCTGTTTGAATAACTCGTTCGAATACCTGTTCAAATAAAAAATATACACCAACTTTCCAATTCATGCTCTAAAAAACAAATATATAACAATTTATAATTCATACCCATTTAATTCAGCATTTGAAAATAAACCAACTCTCTATCTATATTTATATTTTAAATCAATCAATAAAAACTCAATAAATTAAAATAACTAGCCATCATAAATAATAAAACTTCAAAATAAATTTAACAGAACAATAAATCGTTCAAAACAAATTTGGTTCCATATCAAACATGACACAAACAAAAGGAATTTGCATTTTGCATAGACATTACAGCACAACCAAAAGGATTCCAACAAGAGTGAACATGCCACTATATAGTAGATAGTGTATATACAAAATCAGTATTATACATATATTAATCATAGGTTAAATATGTTAAATAGGTTATTAAATTATCAAAATTATAGGTTATTATATATATATATATATATATTATCATTACTGTCTATATATATATATTTTGTATCAACACCTATAAATTCATAGTAGTATGAGAGTTTATTGTAATAGATGATCAATACAAATTTGTGATTAATTTATGTTTAATTAAGCTATTATGTTATTAAATTTGTCATGCTATATATCACTTGATTATACAATATGTTATGTTCATAAATTTGTCATATTATATTTAATTAAGCTATTATATTGTTCAATTTGTCATGCTATATATCACTTAATTATATAATATGTTATGTTCATCAATTTACCATACTATATTTGACTAAGCTATTATATTATTAAATTTGTTATGCTATAAATGTCTTGATTATACAATATGTTGTGTTCATCAATTTACTATACTATATTTATTATTTATTAATTGAAATGCTATCTTATATATTTAATTATTGATTACATTTGGAAAAATATGAAGCTATTATGTTATTGGATTTACTATATTATATATCACTTGATTATACAATCTATTATATTATTAAATTTATCATGCTATGTATCATAATAATTTATTTTTTTTTAATTAAAATGCTATATACTTATTTATTTAATTATTGATGACATTTTGAAAAAAAAAAATCCAAACATATTATATATATATATAAGAAAAACAAAAGCATCATAATATTTTATTATTGATTACCATTAAAAAAAATTCATCCAAACTAAACCAAACATAATATAAAAAAGAAAAAAAAAATATAAATTATAATAATGTATTCCATGTTTTTTGAACATAAACGAACAAATAATCGAACAGATTGTTCGTGAACGGATGGATCAATCAAACGTATAATGTTCACGAACATAATCGAACGAACATCCCATGTTTATGTTCGAACTCGAATCGAACATATTATTGAACGAACATCGAACTGTTCGCAAACAGTTTGTTATTGAGTTGAGCCGGACAGTTATCAAACGAAAATCGAGCTGTTCGGGAACAATTCGGTTCGTTGCGGCCTTGCTAGACCTACTTTAGAAAATTGGTTTCCAGGTCAACACGTAAGTTGAGAAATATGAGATTGTTTCTTCCCTTATTTTCTTTGATCTACTTGCTATGGCAATTAGGCAATTAGCAACCATTAAGATTAGGTTCTTTTTTAATATCAATTACTAAAATATTTATATGTTAAAATTAAGGTAAATGAAATAGTAGGGTACTCTTAAAAGCTTTAAATCTTAGGGAGTTACAAATATGTAGAAGGGGAAACAGGGGAGGCGTGGGTCATAATATCCCTAGAGAACTTTATAAAAGGGGTTTATGTTTAGAAAGAAAGAATTGATCAATTTGTGCCCAAATAACAACACTCTAAACAGGTTTGAATTTGAATATTAGAATCCAAAACACATTTATTAGTCTAATTAATAATCAATTACCTAATCCATTTATTTATAAATTTTGTGTCAATCAAACAGTCAAGAATAGACCAAACTAATTAAATAGTGCGAAATCTCTCTTTTTGTTTTTTTGTTTTTGTTTAATTGACTCCCAAAGTCCACAGTGCAAGGGAAAAAAAACAAAAATTAATTAACTAAATTTCCTGGAACTTGTATGCGGGACGTGAAGTCCCAGCTAGTTTTCCAAATTGTCTTCTAGGACTACTAGAAGCGTGGCTCCACTATTTAGTTCATCAACTGCAAATCGATTTAATATTGTCCATCATTTTTTATTGAATGTTTTAATATCTCCATAGAAGTCCAATTTCAAGTCTTTCAACATGTGCCAATGTGAGAAAAAATGTTCATGGAATTTATGAGCTATAGACCAAAAACATGTGAACATAACTTTACACTATTTAAGCCACTTTTTGTACATTGAGGAAGTAAAAAAAATCCAATTAGCTCTTATAGTTTTCACTTTAGTTGACTCAAATTAATATTCTACTCCAAATTAAAAGTCCTTACAAAATTTCTTGCAACTTATTTGCCATAACATTTCGATCCTTGAATTGCACACAATTGATAGCACTCTCATAATCATTATTTCCTTGTTTTATTGTTTGCAATGAAACCGACCATAAGTGCGCTTCTTTTCCTTGAATTACTTGCCATCGCAACCATCAAGATCAGCTTCTGCTATGGAAGCTATGTTGGTTGCATTGAGAATGAGAGACAAGCCCTTTTGAGGTTCAAGCAAGATCTCAAAGATCCTTCCAACAGCCTTGTCTCTTGGAGATCTCATGATGGAGATTGTTGTACCTAGGATGGTGTTGTCTGCAACAATTTTACCGGCAATGTCCTGGACCTCCATCTTAGAAATCCTATCGAATTATCTTCTTATGGTTCAGAGGTCAACGACAGAGGTGAATCAACGTGGAAAGATTCTGTTGATGCTGTGATACTTTGCTGGAAATGCATCAATCTATGCATTGCTACTGGTTTGTGTCTGGAAAGTTTTTGAAGGAGTTCTTCAACAGTGTTTCAACGTGCATAGCATTGTTTTGTAATGAATTATTGTTAATTGACTTAAGGGTATTTAAGTCAGAACCATTATGTATAATGTGATTGTAAGTTAGTGGTTAAGTTTGGTTTAAAAGCTGAAATTTCTACTGTATTTGGTATATTAGCAAAGAGTAGGTTTGTCTAATATATATTTAACTTTATCAATGAAAAAACAGAGATGGATATTTTGCACTCTTTTATCTTTCTCTTTGCATTCTCTGGCTGAAAAACCATCAAATGGTATCAGAGCTTCAACAAAAACCAGAAACCTAGAACTTTAAACCATCGATTACAACTTAGAATACCCTCCATTTTTCTGAAAAACTTCGACCTGCGTCAGTTCTTCTTCTTCTCTGCAACAGACACAAAAAACAGAGACATGGCAATTCAATCTGCATTGATGGCTCCACCGGTATTCAATGGGGAACACTACCACATATGGGCTGTCAAAATGAAAGCTTTCCTCTGTGGCAGTATGTGGAAGAAAACAGGCAGCCACCTCCTCTTGGACAAAATCCCACGTTGAACCAAATGAGGTTGCATAGGAAAGAAACAGCCAAAGCTCTCAGAGCCCTCTCTCATATACATGCAGCTGTGACTGACCTTGTATTTACAAGGATCATGGCATACAAAAACCCCAAAGAAGCATGGGATAAACTGAGAGAGGAATACATGGGTAGCACCACCATAAGGAACATGCAGGTGCTTAATCTAAGGAGAGAATTTGAGATGCAAAGGATGCAGGAAGATGAAAAAGTAAAGGATTATGTTGATAGACTAATGAGTGTTATCAACAAAATCAGACTAATAGGAGTGGAGTTAACAGATCGAAGGGTTATGGAAAAGGTTTCGGTGAGTCTGCTTGAGAGATTTGAGTCCAAAATCTCCTCCCTAGAGGACTCTAAAGACATGACTCAGATCACATTGACTGAGCTTGTCCATGCTCTCCAAGCTCAAGAGCAAATAAGGCTCTTGAGGCAAGAAGACACTAGTGAGGGTGCATTGGTTGCAAGCTATAAAGGCAAACCTGCACAAGGACAAACAAAAAAGTATGTTGGAGATAGAAAGGGGAAAGAGAAGAGTAGTAACCAGTGGGAAAAACCTGGTGGAGTGAAAGAATTTCCAGCCTGCACTCACTGTAAAAGGAAAGGACATCCAAAGAGGAGATGCTGGTTCAAACCAGGCATACAGTGCAAAAGTTGCAAGCAATTTCGGCATATTGATAGTGTTTGTAAGAACAAAGGAAGCCAACCAACACAGCAAGCAAAGGTTGGGGAAGATCAACAACAATGTCAGGAGGCTGAGCAACCTTTTATGGCCACTTGTTACAGGCACAAACCAACAATGAAGCTTGGTTAATTGACAGCGGCTGCACCAACCACATGGCTATAGACCTGCAAATTTTTTTGAACATGGACATATCATATTCGTCCAGAGTTAAGATAGGAAATGGTGAGATCATGGAGGTCAAGGCATGGGGGATGTTGCTGTCCAAACTTGGTCAGGTACAAAGCTAATTTCTCATGTGTTATATGTGCCTAGGATTAGCCAAAATTTATTGAGTGTTGGACAAATGTTAGAGAAGGGTTATTCCTTACATTTTCAAAATCAAGCATGCACTATATTTGATCCTGAAGGGGCTGAATTGATGTGTGTAAAAATGTTGGGAAAAAGCTTCCCGGTTGAGTGGAAAAACACCAACAATTTTGCTCTATCAACTAGGCTGGAAGAGTCAGAAATTTGGCAGAAACAGCTTGGTCATTTTCACTATAATGGCCTCAAGGAGTTAAAGAAAAGGAACATGGTCTAGGACTTACCAGAGATTGAAGAAAAGAGTATTCTCTACAGTGTTTGTCAAATTGGCAAATTGAGTAGACCTGCATTCCCTTCGGATCAGTCTTGGAGAGCAACAGCAAAGCTCCAGCTAATCCATTCAGATGTTTGTGGCCCTATGCAGACAGAATGATTGAGTGGAAGCAAGTATTTTATACTCTTCATAGATGATTATACACGGATGACATGGGTGTATTTTTTGAAGCTGAAAAGTGAGGTTTCTGCAGTGTTTAGAAAGTATAAACTGCTGGTGGAGAATGAGGCTGGAACAAAGATCAAAGTTATTAGAAGTGATAATGGAACTGAATATACCACAAAGGAATTCAGTTCCATTTGTCTTGAAGCAGGAATCAGGCATCAGTTTACTACACCATACACCCCACAACAAAATGGGGTTAGTGAGAGAAGAAATAGGACCATCATGGAGATGGCTAGGTGCATGATCACAGAAAAACAACTTCCTAAGTGCTTTTGGGCTGAAGCTGTAAATACTGGAGTTTATCTCCTGAATAGGCTGGCAACAAAGTCAGTCAAGGGACAAACTCCAGCTGAGGCTTGGACTGGAATTAAACCAGCAGTGGGGTATTTGAAAGTGTTTGGAAGTGTGTGTTATGTCATGGTTCCAGTAGTAAAGAAAACTAAGCTTGATGATAAAGCTGAAGTTGGTATTCTCATTGGCTACAACAGTCAATCAAAGGGATACAAAGTGTACATTCTTGAAACAAAGAAGATTGTGATAACAAGGGATTTAAGGGTAGATGAAAATGCAATGTGGAATTAGGAGAGCAAGCAGATTGAGGTTGATTGTAAAATGCAGCAGCCGATTGAAAATGTGTTTGAGGAAGTTGAAACTGAAGCAGATGAGGAACCATCAGTTCGAAGGACCAGGACCTTGGCTGATGTTTATGCAAGGCTGTGCTAGAGCCAAGAACCTATGCTGAAGCTGCTGAATCAGATGTTTGGAAGAATGCAATGTAGGAGGAGATTTCTATGATTGAGAAAAAACAACACTTGGAGGTTGGTTGAAAGACCTGAAAATAGAAGAATAATTCAAGTGAAGTGGATTTATAAGTTGAAGCTTAATCCTGATGGCACAATCCACAAACACAAGGCTAGACTTGTTGCAAAAGGATTTTCATAGCAGCAAGGAGTGGATTATAATGATATCTTTGCTCCGGTGGCAAGACATGATACTATAAGATCGATCCTTGCCATGGCTGCTCAATTTTGTTGGAAAATTTTCCAACTTGATGTTAAATCTGTCTTCCTAAATGGCTACTTGAGTAAGGAGATTTTTGTGGATCAACCGGAAGGCTATCAGGTGAAAGTTGAAGAAGGTAAGGTGTATTTGCTGAAGAAGGCTTTGTATGGCTTGAAGCAGGCACCTAGGGCCTAGTATAGCCACATAAATGATCATTTAAATAGTCTTGGATATGCAAGGAGTCCCAATGAACATACTCTTTATGTCAAGAAGCTGAGGGTGACCTGATTGTAGTGTCATTGTATGTAGATGATCTGCTAATTTCAGGGGGCAATCCAAACTAGCTGAACAAGTTTAAATATTCCATGCAATCTAAATTTGAGATGACAGATTTGGGAGAGATGACATACTTCCTTGGTATGCAAATTGTCCAATCTAAAAATGGGATCTTTGTGTACCACGAAAAGTATGCAAATGAGGTATTTATAAAGTTTGGTATGGAGAATTCCAAACCTGCAGATACTCCCTTAGTTCTAAACTTGAAGCCAAGCAAAAATGATGGTGAGAAAAGAGTGGATGAAGGTCAGTTTAGAAGCCTGGTGCGATGCTTGCTATATTTAATAGCCACTCGACCAGATCTTATGTTTGCAGCAAGCTATTTATCTAGATTCATGAGTTGTCCAAGTGAACTACATTATAGGGCAGCAAAAAGGGTGTTAAGATATGTGAGAGGGACCTCCAGCCTTGGTATTTGGTTTAGGAGGACAGAAAAATTTGAATTGTAAGAGTACACAGACAGTGATTGGGAAGGATCAATTGATGACATGAAAAGTACATCAGGGTATGTATTCTATGTTAATGCAGGTGCCATCAGCTGGTTGTCAAAGAAACAAGACACAGTGGCTCAGTCCACAGCAGAGGCATAATACATTTCTGCCGCTACAGCTGTGAACCAAGCTGTCTGGTTCAAGAAAGTGCTTAAAGATTTGAAGCAAGATCAAGAATGGCCAACTCCAATATTATGTGACAACCAATCAGCAGTTGCAATGGCCAAAAATCCAGTTCTTCACGGCAGGACAAAGCACATTAAGATTAAATTTCATGCTGTGAGGGAGGCTGGAAATGATGGAGATGTAACCTTGATTCACTGTCGGGGTGAGGACAAAATTGCAGACATAATGACTAAAGGTTTACCTAAAGCCAAGTTTGAGGAACTTAGACTCAAACTTGGTGTTTCCAGCAAAGGTATCAAGGAGGAGTGTTAATGCTGTTATACTTTGCTGGAAATGCATCAATGTGCATGGCATTGTTTTATAATGAATTATTGTTAATTGACTTGAGGGTATTTAAGTTAGAACTATTATGTATAATGTGATTGTAAGTTAGTGGTTAAGTTTGGTTTAAAAGCTGAAATTTCTGCTGTATTTGGTATATTAGCAGAGAGTAGGTTTGTCTACTATATATTGAACTTTATCAATGAAAAAACAGAGATGAATATTTTTCACTCTTTTATCTTTCTCTTTGCATTCTCCGGCTGAAAAACCCTCGAATTCTGCCAAAGAAGATGCTCATGAGAGGTCAGGGTTGTCTGGTAAGATAAATCCTCTCTACTTAATTTGAAGCATTTGGTTTACTTGGACTTGAGCAATAATTATTTGGATGAAGAAATTCAGGTTCCTATATTTCTTGGTTCAATGGGGAATCTAAGATACCTTGACCTTTCTGGAGTGGATTTGGGGGAAGTGTTCCTCATGACCTACGAAATCTCTGTAATCTGCAATATCTTTACCTTGGTAATAATTTGAACATGCATGCTGAGAATTTGGGGTGGTTATGCGGTCCTTTATTTCTAAAGCACCTTGATTTAAGCTTGATAGATCTCACCGGAGTCTTTGATTGGCTATCAGTGATAAACGCACTCCTTCTTTGATGGAGTTGAAATTATATGATTGTCAACTATATCAATTTACCCCAGTGCCCATTGCAAATTTGTCATCTCTTACCACACTTGATCTTTCATCTAGCATTAATCTTAGCATTTTGATATTTGGTTGGGTTTCTGTCTTCGTAATTTAGTCTTTCTTGATTTAAGGGAAAATCAATTCGAAGGTTCACTTCCTCATGGACTTCAAAATTTGACATCCCTTAAACATCTTGATTTATCTTTCAACCAATTCAATTCCTCAATACCAGACTGGTTGTATAGAAATAGTCATCTTGATTTCCTTTCTCTTAGGGAAAATAACTTGGAAGGTACAATTTCAGGTGCTTTAGGAAACTTGACTTCTCTCACAAGCCTTGATCTTTCCTTCAATAAACTTGAAGGAAACATAAGCAGGTCATGGGGGAGACTTTGCAATTTGAATTCAATTTTCTTGTCTGATGTCAAATTGAAGTCTTAGACATTTTCTCAGGATGCGTTTTAGGGGTTTTGGAATATTTGGATTTGAAGAATACAAATCTTTTTGGTTGTTTGACTGAACAACTTTGGCAATTTAAAAATCTAAAATATCTTGATCTCAATTACAACTCCCTTTCTGGATCTATTCCCGTGAGTATTGGAGAACTTTCGTTTATGAGATTTTTAGATCTTTTAAGTAACAAGTTGGAAGGAATAGTCTCTGAAATTCATTTCTCCAATTTGACAAGACTATTATCTGTTGGCATCCTTGGTAACTCATTGATGTTGAAAGCCAATCCTGATTGGATTCCTCCATTTCATATCGAACATTTGGGGTTAGGATATTGTCATTTAGGGTCATCATTTCCATCGTGGCTTCATTCATAGAAGCATATAATTACTTTGGACATATCCAACTCAAGAATTGTGGATACAATTCCGAATTGGTTTTGGACATCTGATTTTCAAATACCTTATTTAAATCTCTCTCATAACCAAACCTATAGAGAGATTCCAAATTTAACTGAGGCTCATCAATCCTCTTAAGTTGACTTAAGTTCAAACAATTTATTAGGTTTATTACCTCTTATATCCTCTAACATAACTCGACTAGACCTTTCCAACAATGCTTTGTCAGGTTCCATTTTTCATTTTTTGTGTCATGAAAGAAATGAGTCAAAGACAATGATGTCGCTCAAGCTTAAAGATAATCTTTTATCTAGAGAATTATCAGATTGTTGGATGAATTGGCAACAATTGCATATGTTGAATTTAGACAACAATAAATTTACTAGTAACCTTCCATCTTCTATTGGATCATTAAGTTCGCTTCAGTCATTGCACCTTCAGAAAAACAACCTCTTGGGGATACTTCTAACGTCACTTAAAAATTGCATCAGTTTAATGACATTTGATGTTTTTGAAAACTGGTTTGTTGGAAATATACCGATATGGATAGGACAAGAACTTTCAGATATGGTAATTCTTAACCTTCGTTCAAATAAGTGTAGATGCAAAAAATCTACCGTTATGAAAATAGGGTCTGATCCCGTGAGGTTGAGGTCACTGACAATCCGCTAGACTTGCACACATGAAAGGGCAAGCATGAAGCTTCTAGAAAACACTGGGGTGGTGTTTTCCATAAGCACTCCGACACTCAAGTCAGCAAGGCTGAAAGAGATTATTTGATAAGAATTAAGGAGATGAAGAATTACCAGGAGTCTTGTCGGAAGCTAGGACTATGGCGGAGGCGTCAGGTTCTTGGGAGCAAGAACTTTAGGAGCAAATAGATGGTTTTGAGTAGTGTAGTTTGACTATGGGAGATTACATGCCTAATGAGAGGGCAAGCCTATGTTTTTATAGTGAACTCAAGGGGCTGGAATCCTAGTAGGACATTAAGTCCTCTCTTTTGGGAGATAATCCCTATCAAGAAAGAAATATGATTTCTTGGCCTTATCAGATTAAGTTTAATAGTTAAGTAAGATTTGGAATCTTAGTAGGACACTAAGTCCTATTTTGGGAGATAATCCTTATCAAGAAAGAAATATGATTTCTTGAGCTTATCAGATTAAGTTTAATAATTTGAATAAGATTTGGAATCTTAGTAGAAGAGGAAATAGAATGGGATTCTGATTTCCTATTTATGGACTGTTGCAGGCTAATGGGCTGAAACCCAGTTTAGCTTAACTTATAGGATAGCCCAACAAGTAAAATGGGTAGTTCACAAGATGATTTTAAGTGTAGGCCCAATCGGGATTGGGTTGAGGCCTTGGGCTGTGACATGTTTATTTCATTATTAGGCCTTGTCAAGCCCAAGACGATTTTTGGCCCTAACAGTTAGCCCCCCACTCTCTAAGTTAAAGAGCATTTAGCTTAGAGAGTAGATTTAATCGAATGAGTGTAGACTGAGCGGATTAGTGATAGCATCTCGTTAGGTCGGATGGATCATTGTGTGGATTGGGTCGATGACTTATCGATTTAAGGTGCAAGTCCTTCAATTGGTCTAGGCTGATTGAATGTGTAAATCTATAAATCGGTCTGGGCTGATCGAAGGTGTATACTTATGAATCGGTTTGGGCCGATCGAAGGTGTAAACTTATGAATCGGGTTGGGCCGATCGTAGGTGTAAACTTTTGAATCAGGCTTGGCCAATCGAAGGTCTAAACTCATGAATCAGGCTGGGCCGATCGAAGGTGCAAACTCGTGAATCGGGTTGGGCTAATCTAAGGTGCAAACTCGTGAATTGGGCTGGGCTGATCGAAGGTACAAACTCATGAATTTGGCAAGGCCGATCGAAGGTGCAAACTCGTGAATCGAGCAAGGCTTATTCGAAGGTGTAAACTCGTAAATCGGGAAAGGCTGATTAACTCGTGAATCGGACAGGGCTGATTCGAAGGTGTAAACTCGTGAATCGGGCAGGGCTGATTCGAAGGTGTACACTAAGGTGTAAAAACTCGTGAATCGGGCAGGGCCGATTCGAAGGTGTAAAAACTCGTGAATCGGGCAAGACCGATTCGAAGGTGTAAACTCGTGAATCGGGCAGGGCCGATCGAAGGTGTAAACTCATGAATCGGGCAGGGCCGATCGAAGGTGTAAACTCGTGAATCGGGCAGGGCCGATTCGAAGGTGTAAACTCGTGAATCGGGCAGGGTCGATTTGAAGGTGTTAAAACTCATGAATCAGGCTAGGCCGATCGAAGGTGTATGCCAAGTGGAGTTTGTATGGAGCTTCCAGTCAAGTCGGCGTGACCGACTTGTAGTTGAAACCTTTGAGGGCTATATGGCCCAGTTGGCGTAATCGACTTTGTAGTTGAAAACATTTGATTGAAACTGGAGCAATGACATGTATGGCATGCATGTTTTAAGCAAAGAGCCGAATGGAGAGTCAATATGCATGATGTGCATGTGTTATGGACTAAATAAAGAGTGAGCTAAATGGAAAAATTTGTTGCATGTATTTAAGTAATGGGCCGAATAGAGAAAGATTTAACCAAATAGAGTGGTAGTTAAAAGGAGATAATGACACATACCTTTTCCCTTTCAAGTGCTGCCACCCATGCTTGTTGGACCGAGTGGAGAGAAGGGTGTTGCTTTCTATGTCGGAGCTGAACCAGTTGTAATTGAGTAGGCACATGATTCACTTTTGGGCTTAACCGAATGGGCACGTTGATATTGTATGTGCAGATCCAAATATCATTGAGGGGACTACTCGTGCGGTTTAGTGGTGCTGAGTTGCAGTGTGGAGTGGAAAGTTTGAAAACAGCGGGGATCGTGAGGGCTTTTGTGACAAGTGTGCTGGAGATTGTGTTGTGAAGGTGGTTTGAGTTGATATGTATTGGCTGGGAAGGGGCGATGGTTCGAATTTGGAGTTTTGGAATACGGTGGGGTAAGGAGATTAGGCAAGAATGGGGTGGCGTCACTTAAGCAGGTTTTGTTTGGGGGGTTTCTCTTCGTATTTAGTAGATGACTTTAGGTGTTTTAAGAGGATTACTACTGTGGTTTTAGGATTTAACTATGTGATTGGAGAAGCTGTTAGGGCGATTTTAGGAGAACATGTTTCAAAGTGGTGGCAAATCTTCGTGAATTGAATTGGGATTGGATCAATATTGGTCGAGTTTGAGTTACCTTCTAATGGAGCGGAGGTCCTGGAGATGCTGGCATATTGCGGCATCTTCTTGAATGAACAAATTGATTGGTTTTATGGCGGGTAATGCATTGCAAAGCTCTGATGACGGTGGCGGACCACCTGGTGGTTTGATGATTGAAGTGAAAAGGCACGTGTAAAGGGGCTAGAGACATAAGCTATTGCCTTATCTGAACAGAGGATTAGAGACGAGAGATTGTTGAAGCAAAGTCAATGAATCAAGTGGTTTAGGAGCACCACTTTAAACTCTGACACATTATTATTCTATTATTAATTAGAACAATAATATGAAGCGCTAGCTATTATTAATTTAGAACAATAATATGAAGCGCTAGCTATTATTAATTTAGAACAATAATATGAGCTTCAAGGTCTTATACTACCTGCTGAATGGATATAATATAAAATAAATTATGATATGCCGAATAGATATAATATGGCATGTGAATAGATAAAACAAACGAAGAAAAATAAAGAAAAATTGTTATTGTGATGGGATTTTCTGATTAACATTGTCAGTCAAGAGGAGTTTTGTGTCGCCTACCATGTTGTTAGTCGTCGTTGGCAGATGATTGTCAGGTCCCCACGGTGGGCACCAAACTGTAGATGTAAAAATCTACCTGTACAGAAAGAGGGTCTGATGCAGTGAGGTTGAGGCCACTAGCGATCTGTTGCACCTGCACACGTAAGGAAACAAACGTGAAGCGACGGAAAACACCAAGGTGGTGTTTGCCATAGGCACTCCGACGCTCAAGTCAGCAAAGCTGAATGAGGCTAATTTAGTGAGGGCTAGGGAGAAGAAAGGTTACCGGAAGTCTAGTCGGGTATTGTGGCTATGATTGTAATGCGAAGTTCTTAAGAGTAGGAACTTCAGGGTCTGAGGGTGTAATGTCGATATCCCTTATAAGAAGGTTGACCTCTGTTTAAATAGTGACTGTATGGTTTCCTAATACTAGTGGAATTGGAAGTCCTTGTAGTAATCGTTCGTCCCAGGAGTGTATCCTTTGGCCCCCTTATCCTGGCGTGAAAGGGAGTTCAAGCATGACTTGGACATGGACCTTGGAGGAATTGAGATAGTAGTCGACTTTCTTATCAGAGTTCAAGTGGGAGTGTAATCCGTAGGTGACTGTGGGCTTCGAATTTGACATAAGCCTAGAAGGTGTGCTAGGATCAGGAGGCCCGGGTCCAGATGGTACGAACCGACTGCACTTCATACCGAATGGGCCTCATCTGGGGAATTCTGGCTTGGGCCGCCTCGGAACTGGATCTAGGCTTTCCTCTTAGTTAGAATTATTACCCTATTTGGGCCAAGGACATTTTTTGGCCCTAACAATAAGTTTGATGGTCATTTACCAACAGAACTTTGCTATCTGACTTCTCTACATGTCATGGACCTTGCTTACAACAATCTCTCTAGAACCATTCCAAGTTGTATTAAGAACCTCAGTGCCATGATGTCAATTGACTATGATGAAGAGAACTATATTTCCTACAGGACCCTCGTCATCATCTGGCACTTCTTTAGAATAGTGTACCGTGAGGACACAGTTCTTGTGACGAAAGGAAAAGCTATTGAATATAATAATACTCTCAATTTGGTGATAAGTATAGACCTTTCTGGCAACAGCTTCTCAGTACTGATTCCGAATAAAGTAGCAAATCTTAAAGCATTACAATCATTGAATTTGTCTTACAATTCATTAAGTGGAAGAATTCCTGAAACTATCGATGCTATGACCTTATTAGAATCTCTTGATTTCTCTGCAAACCAACTCACTGGTGAAATTCCACAAGTCATTTCAGGTTTGACATTTTTGAGTCACTTGAACTTGTCTAACAACAACTTGACCGGAAAAATTCCTACGGGCACTCAATTACAAAGCTTTGATGCTTCTAGTTTTGTTGGCAATGACCTTTGTGGATCTCCACTTCCTAAGAATTGCACTAGTATTGTTTTAACTCCAGCCTATGACCATAGCAGAGGGAAAAATGGTAATGAGCATGAAGTGGATTGGTTCTATGTAGGCATGGTACTTGGATTTGTGGTTGGCTTTTGGAGCATAATAGGTCCATTACTTGTGAACAGAAGATGCAGGTATATGTATTGTCAATTCTTAGATCACCTTGGCCACAAATTTGTCAGTGTTGTAAGAAAATGTTGCTAGCTAGATGTTGTGTCTCGACCTTTGTTGTCTTTATTTAATTTAATCGTATTGTAATGAATAAAAAGGTATCGTTTTTCTGATTATGATTGGAAGCTTCATTTAAAGTTAAATAGACAGGATCATGATGTTGTTGGAAGTTGGAACTGGAGCCTATAATGAACATTATCTTGTGACATAAAAAAAACAGATTGTATATCGTTATTGCCTTCATAAATACTCTACGTAGTCGGGTAACTGTAGATTATTTGCATAAAAATATGGGTAAAATCTAATATAATACCTAGAAATTTATTTGCCGATTCAGTAAAATTATTTTCTATAGGAAAATAATCTAAGTACTTGACAAAACCCTAATAAAATAAGCATCACAGAGTGTAATGCAATAGTGAAAAAGTAATAAATAAGAGAAAAATTGAATTGACAGAGAGGCGACTAGAACAATTAGATATTGTACATGGATATCATTAGAGAGGAGCTTGGATGTCAATTTGGGACATTTTGGTGGCGTTCAAATTGAGAGATTCTACTAGTGCAACAAAATTTCCCACCAATGTCTTTTGGCTATGGGGCTTTTACACTGGAGTCGGAAGAGTTTATTTCAGGGTCACTTGAATTAATTTTTTTTTAAACGGAGTATCCGGACCAGTTTGTGCGTATTTCAACTGAGTTTTAGTACTCATCTTTAGCCATCCTTTGTGTTTATAAAAAAAAAATTAAAGAATTATTTTTATAGATGAGAATGATTGAAGAAAGAACTAAAATTTGATTGAATATGTCGAAATGGTAAGATAGATATAAAGGATTATGAGGTCACTATTCTCTACAAATGAACTGCGGCGGCGAAATTCCACAACATATTTTGGGTTTGATATTCTTGAATCACTTGAACTTATCCAACAGTAAATTGAGAAGGAAAATTCCTTCCAATACTGAGTAGAAATATTGAGTGATTATGCAAATCTAATTAATATTCCCACTTCTTAATAAAAAGAAATTTGTATATGCTGATTAGTGAAAAATTTATTTTGACATCCCTGCCTGTAATCATTATTGATATTTTATATAGGTTAATAAGTCAGTTTGAAGTGTTTTGTTCTTTTTATAATCTTTTGGGTTTATTCCATTTTCTGGCAGGCTGGCACCATGCCACGGTGGGATATAATTTTTTTTTTTTTTTTTTTAAATTCCGATAATGATGGACATGTCAGCTCCAAATTCACCAAATCTACATAAGTCAATAAAAAAGTCAACATAATTTCAGAAACCCGATAATTCATCTTTTTCTGCAAAAATATATTCCAATTCAAAAGCTTCAATTCCAATCTTTCAAGCATAATAGGTTATACTGAATTCTAAACATTCATGTCGGGAAAATTTTAAAATTTTAAAAGGTTGTTTCTTTAATAGTCATAAATAGAGAAAGTATAAAATTAAGTTTTGTGACGCTGCTCTAATAATTTTTTTTATGATCGAAGGTATTCAGATCAACTTGTACGCATCTCAATTAATCTCTTGGGACCTTGAAATTACCAGTCGAGTAAGTGCTCAAATGGCTACCCATATTAGCAGGGGTGAGGACTCGAACTTGAGAAACCATATTAGATCCATCTTTTGCTCTTTTACCATCAAGGGGACTCAAACTTGGGTGACCTTGATAGATACTCCTTTTTTTTACCATCGGCTACCCAGTAGTGTTTAACTGAGTTCTGTTATGCTGCTTTAATCATTGCAAGGCAAATAAGTGAAAACATACATAGAGTAAGATTTATTTACCAACAGGTAATTGATAATACATAACAACTCATGCACAATGTTGAGTAGAAATAGTGGATCTGAAATTCTCTTTTTATAATATCCACGACAAAAATATAAGTCTAATTCATCTCCAATCTGCATAAAAAAGTATAGTATTATTAATTAATAAGATAGGAAACCTTTTCATGCATGAGAGGTCAAGGTTGTCTGGTAATATAAATCCGTCCTTGCTTGATTTGAGACATTTGATTTACTTCGACTTGAGGAATGATTTTTGAAGAAATTCAGATTCCTAGTTTTCTTGGTTCTATGGGGAACCTAAGATACCTTGACGTTTTCCGAGCTAGATTTGGGGGCAATGTTCCTCACAACATTAGAAATCTCTCCAATCTGCAATATCTTGACCTTGGTAATAATTCAAATATACGTACTGAGAATTTGGGTTGCCTGTCTGGTCTTTCTTTGCCGAAGTACCTTGATTTGAGCTTTATGGATATCCAAGAAGTCTCTGATTGGCTGTGGGTGATAAACTCACTCCCTTCTTTAGTGGAGTTAAATTATCATGTTGTCAAGTTTACAGATTTTCTCCACCACCAATCGGAAATTTGTCATCTCTGACCACACTTGATCTTTTCTTTTAACCCAACTCATAACTCTTTGATTTTTTGTTGGGTTTCTGGTCTACGTAATTTAGTGTTTCTTGAACTAAGTGAAACTGGATTTCGTGGTTCACTTCCTCAAGATCTTCAAAACTTGACTTCTCTTAAACATCTTGATTTATATTCCAACCAATTGAATTCTTCAATCGAACTGGTTGTATGGATTTAGTCATCCTGAGTTACTTTCTCTCAGGGAAAATAACTTGAAAGGTACAATTTCAGGTGCTTTAGGAAATTTGGCTTCTCTCAAAAGCCTTGATCTCTCGTACAATAAACTTGTTGGAAACATTACAAGTTCAAGGGGCAGAATTTGCAACTTGCATTCAATTTTTTGTCAGGTGTCAAATTGAGTCGAGAAATAAATGAAGTCTTAGATATTTTCTCAGGATTCGTTTAAAAGGGTTCGGAGAATCTGGATTTACAGAATACTAATCTTTTTGGTCATTTGACTGAGCAACTTAGGCAGTTTAAATATATAAAATATTTTAAATATATATAAAATACTGATTGGATTCCTTCTTTTTCAAATGGAACATTTTAGATTAGAATATTGTCATTTAGGGCCTTTATTTCCTTCATGGCCTCATTCACAAAAGCATCTAATTACTTTGGACATATCCAACTTGGCCTCATTCACAAAAGCATCTAATTACTGACATATCCAACTCAATAACTGTTGATATACTTATAGTTTGGTTTTGGACTACTCATTTTCAAATAGAAAAATAATAGAGTTATCGAAAGTTACACACTAAATTTGTGTACCGAATGACGTGACAAAATCATGATTGTTTATTAATATTAACTTATAATGAATCAATGGTCAAGATTTTATCACGTCATTCAGTGCATACCCTTCGATAACTATAGCATTACTCCTTTAAATATAAATCTCTCTCATAACCAAATCAATGGAGAGATTCCAAATTTAATCCAGGCTGACCGATCCACTATTGTTGACTTGAGTTCAAATAAATTGTTAGGTTCATTACCTCTTATATCCTCTAACACAACTTTTCTAGACTTGTCCAACAATGCTTTTGAGGTTCTAAATTTTTTTTTTTTTTTTTTTTTTTTTTTTTTTTTTTTTGTTTTTTTAATTTTTTTGTGTCATGAAAGGAACAAGTCAAAGAAAATGGTGTTTCTCAAACTTGAAGATAATCTTTTACTTGGGGAATTACCACATCGTTGGATGAATTGGCAAAAATTGTATATGTTGAATTTAAATATTTTAGATGAAACTTAATATTATAAGAGAACTTTTGATAAAAATAAATAGAGCTATTTGTTAAGCAATAAATGATATAATTTTCATTACCTTGATAATTAATATATATTTAATACAAGATAAAATAAAAACAATTGTATATAATTAACTATGATAATTTAAAGAAATAATATAATTCAAAACTAATTTGAACACATAAACACAAATCAAATGTATGGAAATTGGAATAAAAGTCATGTAAATAAAGAAAATTGAAACACGCGCACACACACATGCTCAATCTAACAACGAATGACCTTCTATTAGAGTGCTTGATAAAGTCTGATTGGAGTAAAATGAAACTGAAGTTTGTTCTGTGTTTTTTACTCTCACACACTCACAGCAACAACAAAAAATAAACCCACCAAATATGCTATAAACCAACGTATGAGTACTTAGAGATGGGTGTTTGAGCGGGTCCTCGCCCCGTCGTGAATGACCTGGGGAATCCCTGAAAGAGAAATAATTCCCCGACCTCGGGGACGCCCCGCCCCGCCCCGCATATATATATTATTTCATTAAAAATAATAATAATATCATTTCATTTAAAATTATTAATATAAGATCTTTTTTATGCAATCTTATTAATATTCAATAAATCTTGTTAATTTTATATTAATTTGAATAGTTGAAAATTAATCAATAAAGCAAACTAAACAAATTAATTAGAAGAAGGAAGAGGAACATTATGTGTATTATAAAGATGGCAAGACACAATAAATTGTATCACATAAGTCTAAAATCTAATTTTAGACAATAATATTTGATTATTTTCTAAATTCTAATATCTAATTTTACTACATATCTAACAAGTTACTAATGTTATACCTAACAAGTCTTACTACATATTATAATTGATCATGGATTATATTTAACAAGTCTTACTACATATCAATTAATTTGTGACATTTCATTTAAATAATATTTATAATGAATTCGTCCAATAATTTTGCTTGAAATTCTTTTATTCATTTTCTTTTCTAAAAAAAATCACATTTGTCAAGAAATTACCACTTTAATAATTATTATTTTCACACTATTAATTAATCAAATGTGATCATAATTGTGGGAACATTAAGTGAAATCATATACAACTGTACAAATGAGTAATAATTGATGTTTTTTGTATTCAAATAAAAGCTAAATATTCAAATAAAAACCTTTGTACTTCTAAAAATTAGATA